TATATATATAGGGCGCACTTCGTTACTCACCTCTTGTCCGACTACTACCTTCTATTCCTATTATTGTTATTATTAATACTAATTTTCAATCGCAAGATCTTCGCGCAACTTGGCATGAGCGCAGAACTGATTCATCAGGCTGACAAGCGGAAACTATCCCCAGAGCAGCGTGTGGATATTGCCCGTACATCGCGAGTCAGAGATGAGTACGAGGATGAGCAAAGGATCATGGCTAAGAGAAGAGTCGTGGAGGGAAGGCATATCGAAAGTGAGTTTCTTAGGCAAGACGACTGCACGGTTTTCTCATGGGCAAAAGACCAAGCGTCGAACTGGATTACTTTCTCCCATCACGAACCACAACGCAATACCTTGTCCGAAAGCTTCCCACCAGCTATGGTTATTCCAACAGGACCGAAAGCTTCCCACCGTGCCCCCTTCCGTTCGTCTTCTCCTATCGACGTCCGCGCTCTCTTAACGCCGCATAACCGTGGTCTTTCCAACCACGAAGTCCGAGAACTCACTATGCTACAGACCCGAGTCGACAATGCTATAGCCGGCATTGGGCCATCGCTCCGAATTCTACTCAATATACCCAAATCCATACAGTTGAACGTACAACAAAAGCAAAGGGTTTATGATGCCCAAAAGGTCCTCGATATGGCTGTTCTCGAAAGTAAATTGCAGGGTCAGGGGGGAAGTGAAAGCGTTGTCAAAAAGACTGCTTCAACATCTACGCCTCAGTATGGTGGTCGAACGTGGTATGATAGCGATGGCTGGACAGTTCTCACCCTGCCACCGCTAGATCTTGCCGAGTCGATAGAGGGGTCTCTCATAGCGAGATCTATGTGGGTGGAGACTAACAGTCTGTTGGCACAGTTGAAGAGTGTACGGGTGAAGATCTCCTTTAGTGCCGCGGATCGCGAGACTCTGCGAATTGATACATGATCATGGAAAGGGGAGGATGCGATGGGCGAACATGCTCTAGGTTTGGGGAGATCTGTGGCTCAAGACAGGGAAGAGGTCCACGTTACTGAAGAGGAGGACCACGCGGCTTTACAGACTTTGAGTATATAGTTTGGGTACCATCCCAGGTCGAATCAATCAGCATTTTACCCGAATTTCTTTTCCCTTTGATATGTGCACACCAACATGGGTAGCATTCAAGGATGCTACGTAAAGGGAAAGCTGAACGAGTGTAAAGATGAAAGGTCTGCTGCTACTCAGATTGGCACGTACTCTGCAGTCTATGACAACAGCGCGTTGCTACCTGTTCGAGACCTGGTGTTTCCTTCCTTTCTCAGTTTTCTAAAGAGGATCTGAGATACCCCACAGCGATGTATCTTCAGGGAATTGCAGCTTATCGAGATGTGGCGGAAGCTCAAAGGACCTCAGCAGTGTTGCAGACTTCCGAGTAGTTTATGTTCATGTGCAGTTTTCTTTCACCCCTCATTTTGTCAAGCCTACAAAAACCAGAGCGTCCTAAGGGGTATGCGACTCTTGCTTCGATAGGGAGAGAACTAGAAAACTAGTGCAGCAGAATCGGAGCAGCAAGGCGACGGGGGTCGGGAGCGATGTTAGGATATTTTTCGGCCTCGCTCGATGGAGATATCTTCGAACCAAGGAATACCTAGGTAGCTGTTCGTTGTGATTGTGTATGAGATGTGGTAAGCTGCCACTCGGGTTGGAAGTAGTGACGTCACCATGGTTTGGCCTCACGAACCATCGTACCCACTGCGATGTTGCAATCGATGGTTTTATCCAAAGAAAGTATAAGCAACATCACCGAATATCGGTACAATAGAATTAGAGTTTGGTCTTCTGACAAGAAAGCCTGAAGGATAAGCCCGGATAAGAAAAGGCAAAATGCGGATATGCGGACGCGCACCTCACAGCGAAGTGTCGCGATGCTCAACGTGGGGTTTCGACATGCCTAAGCGTCATAGAAAGTCAACAATTGTGGTGTTGCGCACTTTGACGAGGTTTGATTTTCCGATTCTCTCTCACCAAATAGACCGCAGCTACGAGTTATGTCGTGTAAATTCCATAATCGATCTGCTCCTTCCCCCTCACATCTCTTTCCTGTTCCTGGTTCGCTAGCTTGGCCATCGCGCAACTGTATCAAGTGTACCCCTCGGGTTAGCTTTGTTACGCGTGTGTCTAAAATGGCGCGTCGCGTCACGTCTTGGAGGAGGCAGAAGACTCTCAAATAACAAGAAGCCAGTGTTCACAATAAACGCGTTCGTTTCGCTGCATACCGCAAGTCCAAACAAACCCAATGGCGGCTTCTTCTGCGAAGATTCCTCCATATGCGGCCGCTGTGCAGAAGATGGTAGGTAGCCCAGCAGTACGGAGTGGACGGGGATAGGACAAGAAGCAGAGATTCAGGAAATCGAAATTGGTTTTGCAACGCGAAAAGCTCGCAGGCCTCAGAGATAAAGCAAACAGACGCGTCTGCTCAGATGTACACGCAGTGTCATTACCAGTTGTGACGAAAGGTCCAAATGCGCGCCTTCCTGCAAACGCAAGGCAGCAGGGTAACAACAACACAACGCCTACTCGCATGCCAACGACCTTACTCACCTCACAACCTAACCCTCCAGTGATGCACCCACATATACTACCTCTTGAGCAACGGACGGCAGAGATGCAGGCACTCCGGGAAACTATGCCGGATCGACAATGGGTTTGCACAGACGACATACATCCTCTACAACAGCTCTTAGACGCAAAGAGAGAGCGAAAGGTTACAAACGAAGCAGTGTCCAAGAAACAAACCACGGTGAAGAACAAGAGGAGGAAGCGTGGGAAGCGTCATCAAGTCCGGCAAGGCGTTGCACAACCCGTCTTCATCAAGACCGAGTCCATTGACGACAGCCCAGACACAAGGCGCGACTCTGCCTACGGCAATGAGTTGGATGCATCAAGTTCTCCAAAACATCGAAGATGGACTGGGCCTAAGACAGACAGCATCATCGATATCGTCGCACTGTGCACCTATCCGGGACAGACTATTAAGCCGAGTTCGTTCAGTGGCCTCTTCACCCTCCAACGAAGAATCGATGCCGCCGTTAATGACCAAGGCCCTCTCAGAAACATCTTACGCAACCTTCCACGCGACATCACCTTGACTGTCGAGCGAAAAGAAGCCATCTGGGTGGCACAAGGCAAGCTCAATAGGATAGTGGACGAACGACGACGTGGGCGCAGACTACAGAAACTCGACCGTTACCTTTCATCTGATCGCCGGATCCCAGTTGATCGCTACGTCCCGGGCGTCCCCTACAACCCCATTCCGCACATGCTGGCCATGAAGGTGTTATCAGAAGTAGTGGCATAGCAATGCGGAAATTAGTCCGTGGGTTCCTTGTCGGATAAACTACGTTTGAGAAAGATGAGACACTGAGAAGCTGCGAATACTACACGACTGGTAGAGAGAGATATGTGTTTGCGAATGCATTCACGATGGTGCATGAGCACAGTATGGGCCTCGCATCTCTTCGAACATGTCTGGCACCCGATCTTGGAGTGACTTAGATAGCAAGCTCGATATCCCAAGCAAAAGCATGACCCAGTTCTTGTATATTATAGCAATCGAGATCACACTAAGACTCTATCGCATTACAGAATACATAGTCATCGGCACAAGCGCTGAAGGGCCGGCCACTCTACGAAGTGAGAACCCATTTGGGACAAATTTGATGATAGTACAAGTCCAGAAAAGCTAGGCGATGAAAGAATGGGCACGTAGAAATGCCGCACGCAAGTAAATCGATGCACAAACTACCTCCTTGAGGACCTCACATCAAAGACGTCAACTTCGCGATCGTACGCGGGCAAGCTCTTCCTCCTCCTCCCCGATGCCAAACTAGCACTCCTCCTGCTGCCCTTTGAAGAAGCAAAGCCAAGTCCGCTATCCCTGCGACTCCCCGGCTGCTCGATGACTTCCACGATATCTTCTTCATGCTTGAGCTCACGAACGTCGTGGTCATCTGAGAGATGTTTAATGAGAGCTTTGACATCGCCGCAGACGGTGTCTGATTCAGCGTACTTGGAGCATATGACGCAGCAGTATTGGCCATCAGGACCATCACGGTGGCACTTGACGACAAAACGGTTTTGGACTTGGAAGGTTCGCTCCGTGTCACCAGCCCATTTGGATATCTCCCATGCTTTCCCTGGTGAGAGGTGAAGTGCGCCCTTGCAGTGCGGACAATATGGATCCCTGTCTGATGTTATGCTAGATGATAGTTGTTGGGTGGGAGATCGCTGGAGGTCGTAGGCGTACACGCAGTATAGGTTGTTAGACCTGGACGCCAGGGTGGGTCCTGTCATCGAGGTAGCGTCAGTGATAGAGGGTTCTGGTTCGATGTTGTCACGCCATGTGAGTACCGTCGTGTTGACAGGGCTGCTGCTTCGCATATGTGAACTGCGGGACCGTGGTTCATGCTTCACCAGAGCTGTGGAAGTCGAGCTGGGAGCAGTAGTACCGGGTTGAAGAGTCAACGCACGAGATGGTGCATGGGATTGCACATGTGAAGGTGCATAAGACGGCGCATGAGAGGGCGCGTGGGATGCTGTCAGAGATTTCGCCCGAGATCGCGTGCGAGAAGTTGCGTTGGATGGTGCTCGAGATAGTGCTTGAGAGTTATGGTGGGATGGTGCCTGAGATGGGGCACGGGAGGTATGGTGGGAGGGAGCGTGCGATGGTACATAAGACGTATGGTGAGAAGAGACGTGGGATGGCGCATTGTTTGGACTTGAGCGCGCCGTGAATGAATGCATCGACCGTGGTGTGAGTGGTCGTTCATCTTGTTGGCGTTCTTGTAAAGCAGCCAGTATCTCGACACACGTCGCAGCAGCTACTCTTGACGCTGTGTTGATGCTGGCCAGCTGGTTTGCGATAGGCTCACCGGAGGTAGGTCCGTAGAGGAATGTCGTCACCAACACACTCTGAAGAGTGATGATTTGTGACTGGAGAGCTGTATGCGCAATCACTGTTACGTGTCCTGTTAGCCCGCTGATCTAGATGGAGTTTCCGGAAATATAATGCGCGTTGTTCGAGATGCAGCAATGTTGTTGGGCGTAAGCCGCAAACCCATCTACCTGATCACGCCATAAGAAAGAGCAAGCTTACCATCACCCTCAGCAAACTCAACCCCAATGGTCTGGTACCCAATATCAAACTGCCGTGTGACTACCGCTTTGTCCGTAACGATTGCTTCGTCGCTACCAAGGCGTTCGTCTTTCACGTACTCGATCCTCCTGGAGGCAGGGTAGCCTTTGCTGCGTAGATTCTGTTCATAGTCCCTTTGCTCCTTGACTGTGAGGGTTTCGTACAGATCTCTTGTAGCGTCGAATACATCCAAGAGTGTGTCCACCAGAGCTTGCACAACATGCACAGGATCGACGGTAGGGTTCTGTATGGCATCAGTACATGTGAACACACGATATGCCGTTGCATACGGGCCGAATACAGCTTACAGCGATACTCATCATGAAACCTGTAGTTTATTTGTTCTCTCGTGATCCTGCTTTCCCAGATATAAGACCAGGCCAACCTGACTCGTAGCGAAAAGGAGAAAAGCGGTCCGGACTAGATAGCTTAAAAGGAACGTAGCTCTAGAGCCCGATTCTAGGCACCACAAGGGTTCTACTACCGACGCCCCACGCCTCACACTCAGACCCCTTCAATAAGCTCCGGAACGTATGCTTTCTCCACCCAAGCCCTACTCTTGTGAATTACCTCATGCTTGATGATGGCTTGTACAGCTGGCACGGCGCCATTGGTGCCCCTCCGATGTTCTGATTGGAATACCGACGGCTACGGGCCGCGCCAGGAACGTACCCGCATGGAGCTTGACGTCATTGTCAGGTGTAGCGCCATTGGGACGAAGTGTGGGTGTGACATGCATACAGCCCGCGGGGTGGATCCGTCGCATTACTTCTCTGGGTCAGAGTGGGTATGATAAGAGCCGAATGCGGGCATAACGGGTTGTGTCATACTCAAACGGTCCATTGTAGGGTGGGTTTGCCCACAGCCTCGAAATCCCATTTTTCATCAAGGCCAAGCATCGTGGAAGCGGTCAGAGCGGCTGAACTATTGAAGTGACTGTATCGTGCATGTGCTTCGTCGCTGCATTGGAACACGCGCTTGAGGAATGCGGTGTCGGAACACGTCATCGGGTATTCAAGAAGCGCAGTGCGCGATCAGCTACGCGCCTCCCGCAACGACTGCTCGAGTGGTGCGAAGACGGGCCTTTTAGATCGGGGCTTTGTTTTGGGCGCCATCGTGTAATCTGGAGCGAAGGTAACTGTGTGACTATGGGTTGGGATCGTGGCGGCTCTCCACCATCGCCTTCGTTAGCGTGCAGCTAGTGCCTCCTGTCGCTCGTTGTCACATTATCAAGCTCAACCACCGGAAGTTTTAATATCCATATACTTCTCGATGTTGAGTGATACAGGGTTGGAGTACTTACCAGGATGCAGGACGTAGAGGCAAGGAGAATTTGCACGTCAGATTTGCTTACGATTTCACGTGGTACAGATACAGTCAGTTGACGCGTCAGAAAAGACAGCTAGGTAGTGAGATTCTTGCTGTCTTATTACACAATCAATCTGCATTTCAGTCCTGTATGTCGAATCTCCGAGAAACTGTCGTGAAATTCCCGCTTCACCGTGATGTAGAGTCATGTTTGCCCAGCATCAAGCGGTGAGTCCAGAGTCGACAGCAACTCACCAGCTTGAATACACCGAGACCAAGCCCGAAATCAGATCCGTCAAATCCAACGCTCTGGAACGGCTTACGAAGAAGCTAACCTTTGGCATCCAATCGTCATGGTGGAGTGTGCAACCAATCCTAATCGTATAACAACAGCGAGCTTTTTCGTACGTTCTCAGGACCTCCCTGCTTCACTCCTCGGCTATCTCAGGATCAGCACTCCTACTCTTACTATCCTCCAGACTCTTCTCTTTGATGAACCACGCGAAGATGGCGCTCCCAGCGACAAGGACAATACCCACGTACAATGCCGCCCTAGTAGCCTGTCCATAGCACTCCTTGACGATGCTCTTCAGTGCCGGGTCTAGGCCCTTGTAGTAAGCCAATCCAGCTCTGACACGCTCTGCAATTTCGGCCGCATCGTCACCCTGCAGCTTTTCTTGAAGAGATCTGCGAAGGGTCTGGTTAAACGCGGTTGCGCACATGGAGACACCAAAGACAGACCCGAGAGAACGGAACAAGTACGAACAAGCGGTGGCAACTGCTTGGTCAGTATGAGAGGCGTTTGCGATGAGCCCAATAAGGGTAGTCGTGACACCTATGCCGTTGCTGAAAGAGCATACACATGTTGCCACCACCATAGCCGGCAAGCTCTCCATGATGAGTCCAGCGAATAGGAGGATCAATGACAACCCAATCGTCAGATTTGTATAGGATATTACGGTGATCCAGTAGTACTTCGCAGTACGTCGCATGTAGAAGCCGCTGAAGAGCGAGCCGCTAACACCAAGGATGATAGATGGAACAAGGAACAACCCGGCTTTCGAAGCACTGTAGTCGCCCATGACCTGCCAGTAGAGTGGTATGAAGAACAGTGCAGCCAGCCATCCTCCAAAGGAAAAGAAGTTGCAAAGATAGCATGCAAAGAGTGTCTTGTTGAGGATGATGCGGCCAGGAGCAAAGGGATGAGTCGCCACGTACTTTTCAACAAGCACGAAGACGATGAACAATGGCGTAGAAGCAAGACCGGCGATGGTAATAGGGTTGTTCCAGGACACGTTGGAGCCGCGATCGAGGCCGATAAGTAACCCAAAAACGGCAAAGATTAGGACCGCTGCACCTAGAAAGTCAATCCTCTTCACCTTCTCTTTCCAATGCGACTGGTCTTGCTTGGGAAGCTCAAGCACGAGCGCCACAGCAATGAAGGCCATGGCACACATTGGGCCCTGGGCCAGGAACGCCCACCGCCAACCAATGCTATCTGCCAGCAACCCGCCGAGGGGCGCACCAGCAGAAGCACCGAAAGCATACACGAGGTTGACGTAGCCCTGCCATTGCCCTCGTTCCCTCAAGCTCACAATGTCGCTCAGCAGTATGCTTGTACACACACTCATGCCGCCACCACCTACGCCAGCGAAAGCTCTTGCAGCAACGAGCTCACCAATGTTTCTCGCAAGACCACAGCCCACACTCCCGATCCCAAAGATCAGGTACGCGGATAGCAGACATTGCTTTCTACCAAATATATCCGAGAGCTTCCCGTAGAGAGGCTGGAAAGCGGATAGCGTAAGGAAGTAGCCTGTCGCGATCCAGGATGTAGAGGACAGAGCGTGCAGGTCGGTTCCGATGGTGCCATACGTCGTTATGACGAGGGTTTGGTCGGCCGACGAGAGGAAGACCTATTTTTGCTGATCAGCTTCGAGTATTTGCAGATTTCAGCTAAGAGACAGGCATAGAAAGCTTACTCCGATAGCTATTGCTGGAAAGATGTATTTCATCCGCTTTCTGACTTCCGGCAGGCCCTGGTGTTTGAACGCATCGCCATGGCTGACCTGTCGCTCAACATCTCCTCCATCTTCAGCATGTACGCCTTCTGGTGCGATGCCAGTTTGTACGTTGATCACCTGCGCGTCGCTTGTGGGCTTTGGCAGAAGTGGTGAGGTTTCGCTGACAGGTTCGACAGGCTGATCCTTGTGCGGAATATCTGGGGTCATGATGGCGGGGTCAGGGTTGTGCATGCAACGTCGGACCGTTGAAAGCTTGAACTTTCAAGATATAGAGTCGCGAAGAGCCAAACTATGACTCACATTCAGGAATCTCCATAGCGACATGTTGGCATGGCAATAATTTATAAGCTTCACGCATAGCTGCTATGATAGCTATTCAGCCGCGTTATGTCCGTGAGTGGGGCTGGATAAGATAGGCAGGTCGTTTCAATATGTCACGGGATGTCGTGTTACCGTGAACGCCTGACGTGAACATGCAAGAATTGATTGTAACGCGAGTGAGAACGTTATTGTAACATAATAGACTACACTAGTTATGCGACATCCGCTAATCAGACGATGCCTGAAAAAAGGCAACAAGGTATTATGTGCACACTTCATGAAAGACGACCATCATTAGACGCAGCGGAATCGTTGCGCTTGCATTCGGGAAGACTAAGCAGGTTGATATTTCCGCAACTGTAATAGCGTTAGCAAATGTTTCCTTTCCGCACAAAGGGAGTAACTTACGTCTAGACTGAGGTACTTGCTCGTCATCTTACCCTGATCTCGCATAACGCCCACCAGTGTCTCACTCTCCTGGAAGAAGCCTGCCTTCAAGGAGATAACAATAAATTGCATACCCGGACTAGCATGTTCGCGGACGTACTTGGCAACCCGACTAACATTGACGTTATCCAGTGCAGCGTCCACCTCGTCGAGGACAAAGAATGGCGAAGGTTGATAGCTGTGAATCGCAAACAGCAGGGCCAATGCAGCGATGGTCTTCTCACCACCTGACAAATGCTCCATGTCACGGAAACGCTTGAGCGGCGGCATGGCGTGGTATTTGAGACCTGCTAGATACGGCTCTGTGCTGTCTTCCATGTCGAGGTAGGCCTGCCCTCCGAGCGGGAACTGTGGCGATTTGGTCAGATCCTTGTATGTGCCGCCGATATTCTCGGAAATGTGGTTGAATGCCTTCATAAAAAGATCGTAGCGTTTCGTCTTGACTTCCTCGAACGCCTTCTTTGCAGCCGCTGCGCGCTTGCGTGTCTCGGCGAACGCCTCATCTATAGCCTTGAGACGCGTTTCTGTTGCAGCGAGACGCTCGGCGGCGCGCATGTTGGGTGTAGCCTTGTTGATGTCGGTCTCAAGGTTTGCAATCACGTCAGTCAACTTGGATTCAGCAGCCTTGAGCTTCTGGGATTGTACACGGTCATCTTGTTCGTCCTCCTACATGATATCAGCAAGGTCTCAGGTAGAAGTCAGCTTCAGTACTCACAGTTTCGAGTATCTCGACAATTTCTGTCTTTAACTCTTCGTCTAGCTCGTCAAAGTCGACGTCGATGCCGTAGTCATCCACTTCTGCAGGTTGTATTTGGGTCGAATCAGGATCCTCGTCAACGTCCATAGCATCGGCGTCCGGTCGCGGCATGTCGGTCATCGGTAGCGACGTCAGTGGCTTTGAGTCTTCTGTAAGTGGAATCTTGATCTCGTTCACTCGACACTCCTTAAGAACGTTGTAGCGGTTCGTCGCGCTCGATTTGATCTTTGCATCTTCTTCGTCGACCTCCTTTAGTACGTTCTTGACCTTTTCGTTGCGCTGGTCCAGTGTGCGTCGTGCCTCCTTGACAGCCGCAACTCGTTCAGCCAATTTCTGCTCTAAACGGGTTCGCTGGTCCTGTAGCGTTTCCAACTCGGCCTGGAGAACGTCTCGGGCGCTTTGCAGCTCTTCTCGCTTAGCTTCAAGCTCAGTGATATCGGCAGTCTTGCGCTTGATCTCCTCCTCTGCTTGCTTGAGGCGCTCTTCAACGCCTCTGTGGGATGAGTCAACCTGCTTCATTAGATATTGAAGCCTGCTACGCTGCTTGCTAAACTCAAGACGCTTTTCAGCTGCTTCTTGCTGGACAGTGCCCTGTTGGGCTTCGTAGTCGCGTATAGACTCGTAACCGAGTCGTTGGCAGAATGCGGCGAATACCTGATCATTGACCTGGTTCACTGAGTCTTGGTGGCTCTCGAGTTCTGCCTCTCGGTTCTGTAACCGTTGTGCCTGCTTTTCGTAATTGGGACGAACTCCCTTCAGCTCGCTCTTGTGATGCGCCAGCTCCTTCTTCACACTCTCGATATTACGTCCAAGCGCTCGGGCTTCCTCTTTTGCTCGGGTGATTTGCTCCTCCAGGTCTAGTAGCTCGACCTGGAGAGCTTGTTCTTGGGTGTACTGTCGGTCCTGCTTGGGAAGGGCACGAAGCTCCTCTTCGTATCTGTTTTTCTTGTCTAGCAGGGCCTGGTAAGATCGCTCGTCCCATTGTTGTTCGCTAGAATCGTCATCGCGGTCAAGCTCACCACCTGTCTGTGTTCCACCCTTACCAATGACACGTCCATCCAAGGTGACCGCTTTGACCTCGATGCGCCTCTGGTATCTGAGCTCTTTCGCGAGCTTCTCCGTATTACAGATCATGGTGTTACCGCAGGCGGCAGTCATCGCTCGCTCATGTTTGGGCTCGTAGTTGATACAGTCTATGGCAAGTCGCATGCCTTCGTGCATACCCTTCAGTTGAGGGTCTACTGCCTGGATCTGGATAGAGTCCAATGGGTTGAAAGACATGACTCCAATGCGTTCTGCCTTGAGGTACTCGATGCAAGATTTGGCAGTAGCTTCCGTGTCGACAATGACGGTGTCCATCTGGTGTCCGAGCACGCGACCGATGGCCTTGCGGTACTTTTGCATCTTTGGCGTGATGAGATCCTTGTAACGACCGTGTACTTTCTCGGATCCGAAGCGAGTTTTCAAGCGATCAATGGTCCTGCGGGCCTCTTGCTGCTTCCTTGACTCTCGACGGCTACCTTCTACAATACTGAGCTGCTTCAGAACCTCTTGTAGCAGTTGATTCTTCTCGTAGTACTGCATCTCGATCTGCTTTCGGTCGGCCTGAAGCCTGTCGAGTTCCTGCTGTTTGGCGGCTCTTGCACTTTCGAGATCCCTGATCTGTGTCTTGGAGGCTTGCTGGCGTTCTTCGAGCTTACTGATGTCTGCACTCAGCTTTTCAATAGCTTTTTCATGGCTGTCAACGCTCTGCTGGAGATTCTTGACTTGATCCCTGTCTGTCTCGACCTCCCGCTTGAGCTTGTCTATCTGCATCTGATCTCCGTGTGTCCGCTTCGTAACGTCGCTGCGCAGTCGACCGTACTCTTGGAGATCCTGCTCGGAAAGCTCACGACCTTGATTCTGAGCAGCAGCCTTGAAGTCATCCTCCCACTTCTTCTCAGCCTTTTGCACCAGATCAAGATCCTTCTGGCACTTTTCGACTGCCTTCTTTTCTGCGTCGCGCTTCTTTCGGAGTTCGTCAAGTCTGCTCTCGTACTTTCGGCGCGTCTCGTTGGACAGTCGGATTTTCTCTTCGATGGGTGCGAGCTCGTTGGAGGCGTCTTCAATCTCCTTCTCCTTAGCTTTGGTGTTGCGGTCCGTCTTGGTAAGATCTCGCCTGATCTTAGCCTCGGCCTGCCTTTCCGCCTCGTGTCTCTGATGGTACTTTTCGACGCTGCGCTTGTGCTCTTTGAGCTCCTCTTGATGACTGGCAATCTTATTCCGCGCCTTCTCCATAACCTGCTGGTCTAGGTAGAGCTTCCAAAGATTCTTGGTGACAATGGCTTCATCGCGCTCGGCAAGCTTCTTCTCGTATTCGTCGGCTTCGGCTTTTTGTTCCTGGTATGTCTTGAGTTCTCCGTTGATACCGCGACGCTCGTGCAGATGTTTCGCGTTGTCCTCGGTGGCGGCCTCTGACTCTTCCTTCAGACGATCGTACTCGGCCTTCTGCTCCAGACTACCGGAAATGCGCTCGACTTGCAGTGTGAGCTGTTCTGGTGCTGTCGTCGCCAATTTCTCGACGTCACCCTGGAAGACGAGGAAGTTCCTCGCCTTGACCAAAATGCTGTGCTCCTCAAGCGCCTCGCCGTACTGTTTCTGAGTGACGACCCGGTTGTTAATGCGGTACTCGCTTGAGCCAGAGCTCGTAATGGTACGCTGCCACTCGTGTGTCTGCTCAGCATCATCCTCAAAAACGGCCTTGACCCAGGCGTTCTGTGGATCGTTGCGCTGGGTGCTGGCTTGCGAATCGCCGTTCTCCTGTGAGTCGCCATTGGAATTACCATTCGCGTCGCCACCCGCATCGCCATCAGCTTCAGTTACGGTGCCATCGGCATTGATCCTAGCTTCCTGGATGATCCTGCCACGGTAGACCATGTCTTTCAACTTCTCGGACCGTAGATGGGACGACCTGACTCCCAGGACGAAGGAGATGGCGTCCATGCTATTCGACTTTCCGGATCCATTGGGGCCGATGATGGATGTAAAGTACGAGTCGCCGAAGAGGAGGGTATGGCGTCCGCGGTAGGACTTGAAGTCTGCGCATGTTCAGTGAGTGCAAACAACTGCGCGTCTGGGTACCTACTGTATATCTCGAGCCGCACTAGCTTTCCCATGATGGCGGTCGAGTTGCGCGACACCTATGCGGCGAATGCGCTGTGGTGAAGTGGTGTTGGGCGGGTTGGTGGTCGCGGGGTGGGCCTGCCCGTCCTTCTCGTCGTGTTGGAGCGCGTCCACAGACGCGTTGAGCCTTGGGCCCAAAGCGTGCTAGTGCCGATATGCACTGGCATGTGGGCCGCGGTGACGAAACCATGGCCGATACGCAGGCAGGGGAGCTGACCACACCGACTTGGTCCCATACACAACATTTCCCTAGATCTGCCCGAATCTGTTAGTATCTTGCGCCTCCTCAGTCCAACATCTCTTCCAGAACCGCCTTTCCTCGTGACCGTCCTCAGTTTGCATGCCCCAGGTGCCTGCGATGACGTTGTGAAGCTTGCCAATCACCAGCTTGCATTCACCCACGACTTTTCCCCCAGAGGCACCGAGACTGGCAGAAGAGCACGATTCAGGAACCCCGCACATCACTCGCCTTGTCATGAGAGCATAGGTTCTGACTAGATCTAATCTAAGCAAACCACCACCACCACTGTACGCTTCTTCCCTCTGATATACCTACCCTCCCCCAAACATGGACCCTTGGCGGATCTGTCGAGATACATCAGCTAACCGCCATGATGGCTGCAGCTTCACCCCCGCGTCACTTCAAAAGACCCCTCCATCGGCGGACCCCCTCTAGTCTCGAAATCGTCCAGGAGGAAATATCCAACATGGCGACCCCAGAGGATGCGGACGGGAGCGGCCTGCCCAAGACCGGGTCAGAGCCACAGCTGGGAGTTTCTGAGCTGTCAGCGCATCCGACACCAGGCGACTCTACACATGCCGGCTCAGCGCTACTCGATGAGCCAGTCTCCTCCACCAACCCGCAGCCGCTTTCTACACCTGGCCTCTCTCGTTCTGCCTCTTTCTCCAATAGCTCCTATCACGATGAGTCCGATTTCGAAGATGCCGCCTTTTTCCCGCCCGTCGAGAAGCTTACCATGTTCGACTTTGTCGAAAACCTCGCCCTCTCGCAGCGCATCGAGAAGATACAGAGCTCCATAGCTTCCCAGACGGAGAGAATCAAGAACCAGGCCAAGAACCGGGGCATTACAAAAGATCGCGTCGTAGAAGAATGGCGACGGAGAGTTCCATCTGAGGCAGAACAACTTGAGAAATACAAGAGGCGCATGCGCCACTCGGTAGATCGTCTAAATCGCCGCTGGAATGAGTCGCTCACTGTCACTGCGCGTGAGAAGGCTTCCTTCATTGCTGCCGTCATGAACATCTTCGTCTCAGGATACCTTGTCGGGTGCCATCCGGATCTACTTCCACACTGGTACACTGCACAGTTACTCTACTTCATGCCCCTTCGCTTCTTCACCTACCACAAGAAGGGCTACCACTACTTTCTCGCAGACCTGTGCTACTTCGTCAACATACTACTCGTTTTGAGTGTGTGGGTCTTCCCACAGTCTAAGCGTTTGTTCATTGCAACATACTGCCTCTGCATGGGAAACAACGCTGTTGCCATCGTCATGTGGCGTAATTCGCTCGTCTTCCACAGCATGGACAAGGTTGTCAGGTTAGTTGCTTGGTCCTGCAACATGGAAATCATGCTAACGTTTCTAGTCTGTTCATCCACATCATGCCCTGTGTCACGCTACACTGCCTTGTTCACCTGCTTTCGCCAGAATATCAGCAAGAACACTATCCCGCCATCTACGATATCCGCCACTCCGATCCAACTTCACCCCACCATTACAGTCTGCTGCAGATGATGCTGTGGGCCACTGTACCGTACGCTTTCTGGCAGCTGGGCTACCACTTTCTCATCACAGTACGCCGTCGTGACAAGATTGCGGCGGGTCGGCCTACTAGCTTTACATGGCTGCGGAAGTCGTATGCCAAAACATGGATCGGCAAGATCGTTCTCTCGCTGCCCGACTTCCTGCAGGAGCCTGCCTTCATGTTCATCCAATATAGCTATGCTGTTTTGACCATGCTACCATGCCCGGTTTGGTTCTGGTACCGCTGGCCCTCAGGTCTATTCCTTAGCGTCGTCTTCATCTGGAGTGTCTACAATGGCGCCACCTACTACATCGATGTCTTTGGTAATCGCTTCCAGAAAGAGCTTGAACAGCTCAAGGCGGACATGGCCAAGTGGCAGGCGTCACCTGAAGGTGGTTTTACACCCTTCACACCAATGGAGGGCGGAAATGAGAAGCAACTAGGTTATATCCCTCCACTCGAGGGCTCTACAAGCGTCAAGCCTGTGGATGGAGAGACAAGGGAAAGGAAGTAGTATGCTGACAGCTCCTTTCTAATGACGGATACACTACGACAATGGGACAACGGGCGTTCACGTACTATTTACACGATTTCAGAATGTGATAACCTCGGCGTTGAATTGTTCCAGGTAGTTTACTATGAGTCTTCCAATTTCGCTCTCGAGATGCATCGGCATGCGTTTGACTTTCGGTTTGGTTGGGATTGGTTGGTTGATTGATATACCCTCTTTCCTTCGATAAGTCCTTGTCATCTCCAATTATAGCTTACACCTAATACCCAAATACCCTACCATTCACCTATGTTGGCCTTCTCAAAACATTTGTGCTTTCTTTCGGTGGTTTTTCCTTCTGTGCCGAGTACTTCTGCTGACGAGGTAACATCCCAAGGCCATTTGTGCTGAATCATCATACCTCGTTGTGCAGTACTAGGATATATTCTACCTGAGGCTGACATGTCGTAATCGTATAAGCCTGCACATGTGTCTACCTAGACACGTATACTGTGATTACTCGTGTCGTGTAGTCTTGATATCTGCACAAAACCCATTGCAGTGATCGAAGTCGCAACAGGTGTCATTTCCTGGGCCAGATGAGGTGATATACGGGCGGATTGCTTTGCCAGTACCGCGCCATTGGGTTCCTGTGCGACGTGGCTTGTTTTCCACAGAAAAGAAGGCGTTGAATGTAGCTTCCGAGTCCATCTGAGCGTTGCGTTGCAGATCCCATTTCGCGAGTTCCAAGTGGCAGTTGGCAAGCGTCACCTCGTGGTCGGGCTGCGAAGCGGACCGTGAAGAGATATCTATGCGCCTCTTCTTACGCTCTTCCTCTTGGTTTTCTGTCAGGTTTCTCCTATTGCTGTTTGCGGGTCGTTGGAAGTTGCAGTCACAAGAGTTGCGGTAGTCTTGGGCCTCTTCCGCCTGTAAGGCGGTGGCAGCTGCTTCTTCTTCTTCTGCTACCTCATGGCTCATAGCGCTTCCATACCGTGGTCGCCGCCTCATATCTATGGCTGAGAGTTCTTCATCTCGGTGTTGTTGGATCGCGGCAGCAAATTCTCGTTGGCGCTTTTCTTCGGTTGCCTTAGCTGCGGTCGCGGCTTCTTCAGCTCTATGCTGTCCCCGCTTCTCCTTGAGTAGGGATTGGAGTTTGGCTACTCGAACTGAATTCCCTGCGATGATCCTTTCCAAGGTATTATTTGTCTCCACGTAGATGTCAGGCTGAAGAATAGGACGCACGTAATGTGCTGTGCCACTGGGGTTGAACCAGCTGGTGGTGGTCGAGACGCATTTGGTTGGTTGGTTGTAGGGATTTGTCATTTCGTCGACTATTCTATCGTGTCGGTTCAGAGTTGCTGTTGGGTTTATGTGAAGAGAAAAAGGAACACATCGTAAGGGAAAACTCCAATCGTTTTATCTACCCGAAGGCTTAGCATGTCGCTCTTCAACTATGGTTCACTGTACTGGTGGTGACTGAACTGTGGTTCACAACACAAATTCTCTACCCAAAAACCTTGGGTCAACTAGCCTATCACACATATTTCACATATACAACTCTAATGAAAGTACTTCCAAATCACCCCACGAGTACCAGCCCAACCTTGATCCAATGCTTTCACAACGCTCTCATCCAATGGACCCTTCTCAAAGTCAACGAGATTCATCTCCAGTTGCTTCTTACTGCTAGCTCCAATGATGACCTTGTCCCCATAGTCCTTCTTAAGTTGGCTATGATGCATCATCCACCTCAGCGCGGTCTCGCTCTCTGTTTGGCCATTAGGTAGCTCGGTACGCAACCCCTCGATGGCTGTGAAGAACTCGTCATTCCAATATCGCGCGCGGTACATCTTTCCTTGCATACGGTTTGGATCGAAGCGACTGCCAGACTCGATTGTGCTATCCTGCGTATCGCGCTTGTAACGCGAGGTTAACCATCCGCCTGCTAGCGGATTGAACGCGTAGAAGGACATGTTGTATTTTCGCAAACAAGGGAGAAGTTCGTGTTCAATACTGCGATGGAGGGCATTGTACACGCCTTGGTATACACTGGGCAATTGGTATCCGTTTGCTTTGCAAATTTCACAGAGTGCAGCCACTGTTGGTGGGAAAGGATCAGCAATGTGCCTGCGTAGGAAATCACAAGAGAAGAACATGTAACATACCTTCCCAAGACATGAAGTTACTCACGCCCCATCTCCTGAATTTCCCCTCTTTGAGCAGATCATTGACGGCTTTGGCCGTCTCCTCAAGTGGTACTGTACGATCAGGTGCATGGAGATACCACAGATCTACCTGCTTTCCTCCAAGAGCAGTCAGACTCTCGTCTAAGCTCTTGCGCATATCCTCTAATCTGGAGTGTGTTTGAGGACGGCCAAAAAGACCAGGAACATTAGGGAAGAACTTTGTGTCCATTGTCAGGCCTCTTTTCTGCCAGTCTAGCTTCTGGAGGTACTCTTCTGATGAACCATCCTAGTGAGGTTAGCGAATAGGACTGAAGGGGGTATGTGTGCTTACTCCATAGAAACGACTGGTATCGACTTCGCTATGGCCGTAGGACTGGAAAGTATCTAGGATAGCCGCGCAGTCATCTAGACTTGAAGTACGGACTTGTTCTTCGCCTTCGCGGCCAAAGGTCATACAGCCGAAGACGACGTCGAGGGGCGTTTTGGAAGACATATTGGGTGAGAACGGTAACGAGCTTGTTTCTGGTATCAGCTCTTGTATATAAAATGTTGTCAAGGTGGAGTACTTATACTTCCAGCAACGACATCATGCTTACCTTTTATGTGGAGATGTGGAGTTCGGTGGACACTGATCTGCAGGGACTTGGCGGAGTTTGACAACGGAGTTTGGAGTTAACGGTTCGTGGTCAGCCGGGCGTTACTCGTAAGATATGTATTCTCCAAATATACAAGTTGGGCTAGTGTATGCACAGAAGGACCAATTACATATTTGTAGTGCGCATTAAAGATTATGTTCGGTATAGCTGCATCGTCCCTATGTATACCTCCGACACTTCATTCATCGTCCTCAGCCTTCTCCGCTCGCAACCTATCGCTTTCCACTATCAGAAGGGAACCCGTACTTGATCGGCACATCCTGTACGTTGTTCTCTTCCCTCCATTGTAGTCTATCAATATCGCTTACACCTGGACCACGGTAGACGCTACCGTAAAGACCACTTGCCCAGTCCTTGCCCGGTCCCTCCTTCGTCTTCTTTGTCGCCTTTCGGCTATACCACTTTCCATATGCCAGTAGGTAGTATAGCCTGAAGCTCAAGAAAGCAAACTTGTCGCGCTCTAGATCAGCAGGATACTGCGCACCCAAATCAACAGCCGCAGCAATTCCACTCATAACCGCAACCTCATGGGCGTTGATGAGTGTCCATGCCGCTGCAAACCGAGTATGCTTTCGGCCCTGTAGAAGCCACATCCATGGGACGACGAAAACGTAATGCGTCCAGGAATGGCACAGCTGGTGCCACCAGTCCTTGCGAATAATTTTGTCCTTGTTAATCTCGTCGATACTCCAGAGGTGGCCGTCTCTTTCCTTATTCAAGTAGATAGTCTGGAAGATGTGCTTTTCAAAGGGAACCTCCGGTGGAAACTGACTCTGGTAATTGGTGCAATCAAAGCACATTTCAAGTTTTGATCGATCCTGGGGGTACATTTTGATGTAGTACATCGGCTTGAAGGACTTCTCGGCCATAGTGTTACGCGCAGTTTGATCGATGTCAGAGAGCTTCTTGACAGCCTTATCTGGGTCGTAAAAGTTCTCATAGTGCTTGTGCATATAGTCACTGTCCCAATGGGTGACGGTGATGTCGTCAGAGAACTTGGCGGAGCCGAGGACCTTCTTCTCACGGAAGGAGGCAGTAGGTTCTAGAATACGTTTTGCTGTGTCGGCGAGCACGCAGAGAATCAATTCGTCAAAGTGCTCTTCCTTCTCCTGCGCGTTTGAGTCGGCGTTGTGGTCATTGTCGTAAGGCACATTGGCACTATTAGGGTTATGCGCATCAGGCATTGGGGTGCGCTTGATCAGCCTTACGGTAACGCCAGTCTTGTCTCGCTTCATTACTCGTGTAATTTCTGTTGATAGTCTGACGTTGACGCCACGCTTGAGTAGATCCTGTCGCCAGCGCTCGTAGAATTCGCTGAACTTGGGGAAAACCACCATGGGCGGCAAGTTGCTAGCAACGCTGTGCTTGTCTCCTGGATACCACATTCCATATGTTGGACTAGTAACCAGTCTTTCGAGAATGATGCTAGGTACGTTTGGTGTCTCGTTTCCGGTTCCCAGGAAAAGCGCGATCATGGGCATGGCGACAGTGTTGGTGAACTCTTCAGAAAACCAGAACATTTTAAAAAGAATTTTGATGGGGATTAACGCGAAGATGAGCTCGAACCATCGAACAATCTTGAGCATGGTGTGAAACTTCTTGATCTCCTTCTGATGGCGCGCAAGAAGCTCGGTCGGGAAGACATTAGTCCAGAAGATATCGTCTTTGCCAAAGGAGACTTGAAGGTCCACGGGATCAGCATGATGGCCTTGTCTCGCAAACATTGTCATGGTGTGATGGAAAATGTAGCTTCCACCTTGAACACCTTGGTTCAGCCAGTCAGCTCCATGGCGCTCCTTGTCGACTCCAATAGAAAACGCCTGGCCTCCACAGTAATCTACTGCGTCGATGAGGGTAACGTCAAACTTGTCGGGATGTTCAGAAAGGTGGTGAGCGGCTGACATTCCTGCTTCGAATTAGGAACCATAGATCTCGAAAAACGCATTCAACGTACCAGCGGCGCCGGCTCCCACAACAAGCACCTTCTTCTTTCCATTTCTGTTGTTGCCGCCTGCCATATTCGTAGTTGGTAGAATAGGCTCTGTGTCGTGTGAGTGTGGCATCGAAACGAAATCTCAGCACTTATGCGACATGCTGCAACCATGCGAGCTACCGCGGACCTGTATTTGTCTGCAGCTGTAACGACATCAACCGTGAACAAATGCGTCATGAAATCCCAAAGAGGTTTGGGCCGATCTTGACTGGTTGCGGCTATCGGACGATCGTGCATCGCCAAGCGCTAATTCAACGCAAACACCACGTTAGGTGATGATGTCATCCACGCTTAAAAGACACTTTATGACGGCAAGATAAATGTTTTCATACAATTTACTTGGACTTCAACGCGTGATATCGCGTCTAAAGGGTGTGCATCCCCTTTAGCGCCCTGTCCGTCCAATCATCTACAACGTCACCCGTCGGATCGCCCGCGTTCTCAGAACGTGTTGGAGGATCCATGATAGGGAATGTCACCGGATGCGTCGCTTGGCCCAGGTCGAAGAAATCTAACCCTAGATCTGCTGTCGCATCCGTGTACCAATCGCCTCCTATGTCAAGCATGCCGACTTGGTCGTTGCTTTCCTCATGTGCCATATCCACAACAGATTCTAGAGACGCATCGGCTGATGCGTCTTGTATCGTTGGTGAATCACTGTCTTGGGTGACACCGGTTATCCTTGCGAACTGCAGCGCAATTTGACCCAAGGTTTTGTATGTGGATGGGAGCTTTTGCTGCATTCCACGGACCTGCTCGAGGACAGTGCACACCGTCGCTTTGCGCTCGATGTCTCTAGGTGAATCTGTTTGACCTTTTGGTCGAGCGAGGAAGTCTGCGCATACTATCAAGATGGCATGGAATACAAAGAAAAAGTCTAACCACGAGTAGCCCATGATCTCGAAGATGCCAAGATCCATCCCAATTGTGATGCACTGGAGACTCTTGTGTACCGAGTCAACACAGTCTTCCGCAAGTATTAGAGTCGATGGCCAATCCTCAGAAGCCGGTAACGCTTTGTTCTCCAAGAAGCAGACGTTGCTCTCGACTTTTTGTATGAGAAAGTCTCGGGAGATGACACAGCGTGTATAATAGTAGTACATGTGCAGCAACAGGATCATTGCCTTCGAGTCTGTACCTCCTGGGGCTTGGTCAAGAGACATGTGTGGAGGGATGTTCGCGTAGAAGTTGTCGCATTCGCGGAGTAGGGTCATGGCAACAGCCAGCGTCGGCGATCGCTCTTCAGACGAGGTCTTGTCGAAATATGCACGTTGTCGGATACGGTACGACAACGACGCGAGATCGGAGCAGAGGTTCATGAAGATTGCGGTGATGCGCGTTTGCTCGAGCATTGGTGCGTCGGGAACCTTCATCGCTACCTCTCTGTCGTCAATTCCCGTAGGACGACCCAATATACCACACAGTATCTTCTCAAATATGTAGATGGACCACCATACTTGCCGGCGCACGTTGCATTCGATGGGTTCAAACTGTAGATTCAAGCTATCGCGATGCATTCCCATGGTGATTGCCTAGCATCAAGCATTAGCAGAGGACCGGAACCATGTGCAGCAAGTAACGTACCATGCGTGCAGCAAGACCAATCAGTAACCACGAACTGCTCTTTTGTCCAACGTTGTGATGGTGCATGTTGAGAAGGACAAGTGCCTGAACGTTCTCTAATTGCGTCGCCGTCAAAAGTACACGGAAGTAGGTTTTGGCGAAAACAACAAGCTTGCGGCGGAGCGCTTGCATTTGGTCGACATCATTTGCTCTTGATTGCTGGCAACCGAAAGACAGGACCAAAGCCAGTGAAATTAGCCATCCCAGGTCCTTGCATTCGTCAATGAACTCGCCCTTTCGCGAGTATGTAGTTTCCAGTCGCATCTGAAACACGGTTCTATTGAACAGGGGAAAGTACATGTGAATCTGATCAAAATAGACCGCTACTAAAGCGTCAGTGATGTGTTTGGGGGGAATCAAATCACCAATTGTATCTCGACGTGAAGAACTATCTTGAAGTTGCGACGGATCATTCGATGCCTCCATCTCAATTCTGGATCTCTTCCGACTTCCATGGCTCGAATTGGGACGCTGGCTCGATGTGGGTATAGCAAATTCGTCTTCCGAAGGATTTGTGCTGCTGCGTTTCAGCGCTGATCCTGATCGACTTGAGGGGTTTGATGTGAATGACCGGAGTCCAGGAAAGTCTGCACCAGAGACGGCTTTCCAGCGGGACGCAAGTGCTCGTATAGTCGTTGCAAGCCGAAAGCTACTGGAAGGACCGAAATAATGCGAAACGCCTCGATTTGTGCGAATGACCTCTTCTGCCTGGGAAGATACTTGTTGGGTTACGGAAGCAGGCTGGCGTAGGCGCTCTTTGCTTGTAGACAAGGAAGATGTGCGGTGAGCAGTGTGCAGGGGATATGTAGTAGTGTGTGGGTCCAAGTATGGGGACTGAGCAATGGGTGATGTTTGCAACGACTGATGCTGCGGCTGCTTTTGTTGCTGTTCCGAAGAAGAAGCCTGTCTGTCGCTACTGCTATTGCTGAAGATATCTGCAGGTGTATAGTCGTCGCTCGCCGGCATTGCTATGTTGCTTGCCGTGGCGATCTTGAACAGGGTCTCTGTGTCCTGAACATTCTCATCCGGAAAAAGCCCTTTGACTAGCGACTCAAGAGCTCTGTAGCGTAGGCTGAGCGTCTCCACACTCCCATACACTCTCTGTTTACGTGGTAGCTTGGATTCACAAACCACGCCATTTGCCTTGCAGTCCGCACAAGGCACGTCGGCATTCTCGCGAATGCACCGTGCCCGTCGAATTTTGCAGCGGTCGCAGCTCACGAGCGCACGCTTTCGAGATGACCCTGACTTGGCGGGTCGTTCGGCCATTGCTTTCGAAGTCGTTGCGAACAAGATCGGAAACTGTAGCGGACGTATTGACGCCCTGGAGAATGTGGAGTTCCGAGGATGCGAAGACCGATTCTGTCGCTTCCGCTGACTGAGACCGTGGCCTCGTCCCATCATAACACCATCGGAGTTGCTTCCGTAGAGCAGCAGCCGCGCGTCATAATAAGGTTTACAGATCAGGACCGAACCGGAAGGACCTGTTTATGTGCTTATCAAAACATGAAAGTCTCGCGTACGTTATTCGTTGCTTTGTTTTGTAGTGGCCTCATTCTACCTCGCTACACTAGTCCAAATATACCGGTATTCCGTATACAACAGCAGCAGCCCCATTCAAGTACCGCAAATAACAAGCCTTTCTCGCATCCCGCACCGCTTCATCTAATCCAACCCCCCTCTGCGAATTGCCTTCCAAATTCGGATGATCATCTGCAAGTTTCACAGACTTCTTTCCCTTCTTTGCGCTCTCCGCGGCCCTCACACCCTCTACCTCGTCCGCCAACTGCGCAACTCTACTCTTGCCCTTGCCCTTCTTCGCAGGAGTCTTCGTAGACGTCTTGGATGGCAACACGTCTTCTTGCGCCTCGGGCCACAATCCCCATAATTCACCTGCTTTGACAGCAAAGCGATCGCAGTCTTTGTCAGTGACGTCCCATAACATGCCAAGTACTGCTGGTGCGCCAGCGGTGAGATACGAAGCAAGCATACCCGAAGGTTCAAAAATCCCGTTTTCTGTCAGATGTACAGACGAGCAGCCGAAGAGGAGTGTGGTCGCACAGCCTGGTTTTCGTTCTCCTTCATTCTGTTCGCCGGGATAGAGACGTCGCACTGATTTCGACTTGACATATTGCGCACCGCTGCCGTGACCAAAGTACAAAACTAGGTCTTTGTTTCGCAACGAATCTTCAAACTCCACTTCCGACGGTGGGCGATTGGCGATGTGATTCCAAGAACCTGTAAGTTCGTCTAGACGTGGCTTGATGGTTTTCGAGGTATGCGCCAAGTCTCCCGACGGATTTAGCATACTGGTACCTCCAGTGCTTGTAGAGATGTAATGGCCCGGAGCAGCATCCTGCTGGGTTGCCGAAGACCGTGCAGAAAGTATTCGCTCTCGAAGGGCGGCAAGCGAGGGTAGTCGCGAGATAGAAAGCTGTTCTAGGCAAGGCAGCGATTCCCATGGGAAGGCATGCAAGTTGTTGTCCAAGATAAGTATTGTATGGCGAGAGGTAGCATCAAGTTTTTGTGACGCTGTGTGATAGGCGCGTAATGCTTCATGCGTCTCCACGACCATGGCGTCAAAGTCGAGCTCGTCGTATGCATTACGCTCGCCGTTAAATTGGAGGATGTCCACCACAAAGTATATGAGGTCCATTAGCGCTTCATCAAGATCGAGGTCGTCATTAGTAGCGTCGCCCAGTCCAATAAACAACTCCAGCACTCGTGTATCCAGCACTGGTCGCTTTTGGGTACTCTTCTTCCTACGAGATGGCAAGTGTTCGTTGAGTATATCCTCCAGTGACTTTCGGAATTGAGCAAGAAGAGCTGGCTGTCTTTCGTGTTGTGAGAAGATACCTTTGAAACCACCGAGCCAGATGTTCTCCATGTTGACAAGAAGTTCGCGAAGCCGGGTGTCGAGAGCTTCGCGTTCAGCCCACCACTGGTGTCTCGCTTCCCTAGAAGTCATGTCTTTGGCGGATCGAGTACTGAAGTCACTGAGCTCGACAATCTCATCAAAATCTCTCTTGCCATCCTCGAAAGAAAACTCTTCTTCGTCCATCTCGCGGGAAGCGTGACGGGCAAGTGGTAAACGTAATACGAACGGAGACAAGCCACCCTCAAATCGGGTGATGAATAGCTCATCGCGTGCCTCACTAAGCGCCAGCGATACAGCAGACCACGTTTCTGGAATGATGTCAACATACTCTTCCTGGAAACTGGATACTGAGCTGAAGGCAAAATGCGAGGAATCAGAAGTTGGCCATCTCAGACAATCATCGCGTGAGAGCTGCTCCTTCTCCGCCTCTGTCGACTCCTGCACAAGCCGCAAGGCATTTACTTTTGGAAGTTCGCTCATATAAGCTGCGTATAACGGGTGGAGCGAGCCCGGCAGCTCTGTTCCTGAGACAGCCGACATCAACACAGTGACATGACCGAGCGCCATGGAGGTTTGACGGAACAGATGGTTGGACCCATTAGTAGCACACAGGGAGTGTGCTTCTACGAGTCGCGCACGTGCATCACGAAGCGTATCCATGAAGTCCACCTTGATTTGTTTCTTCGCCCGGCCACCTTTGGTAGCAGTCGAAGTAGCCTGAGCACCCTTCTTGGCGGTTACTGCGTCGAGACCAAAAGCAGGAAAGGCAATGGTCGACTCAGGGAGTGTGTTGACAGTAAAGTCTTCAGCAATCTGCTTCGCACTCTGTGCAAGTTTCGCTTTGAAGATAGCCCACATGTGCGACACTTCCTGGCTTAGTCCAGTTTGAAGCTGTTCCGCTTCACCAAGTATACTCAGAGCTTTTGCGAGATCATCGTGGAGTAGGTTCGCAAGGACAGCTCGGTCTCTCATGCTCGCTTGGAACACGAACAGCGCAGAGCACTCTTCGGTGATACTAGGCGTTTCCAAAACAGTGGGCTTTCCTACTTGGCGTTTCGTTCTTGGAACAGGCTTTGCAGCTACTTCTGTGGCCTTGGCGCGAGCGTTGGCGGTAGACTTGGAAGCCGCTCTCGGTCCAGCTTTCACGGCAGGTTTGCGACCTCTTGTGGCTGGTTTCTTGACATTCTCTGTGGCCTCTAGGGTCATAGATGAGACACGATTAGCAAGCGCATCGACGGAGGTAGAAAAAGTCTCCAGAGTCTTGATGTACGATGGCGAACTCAGGTCCTTAAGAAGTTTCTCCATGCAGTCGTACGATTGTATCTCCTGTTCATATTGACCGTTCCAGTGATGTATCCTGGCTACGGCTGAATGATAACCTGCCGTTGAGAGACACTTTCGGGAAAGATCGGGACTCAGAGACTTGAGAATGGTTTCGGCCTTGTCAGGTCTGCCACTCTGCGCCCAACAGTCAGCACGCCAGCTGGCGTTGTCTGTGATCAAAGTCGCAGATTGTGTGGCTGCAGCCACTTTTTCAGCCTGTTCAGCAACATGGATTGCTTCATGTAATAGGCCTTGGTGGGCGAAGATCTGAGATTGCTGCATTAGTGCCCGATACAACGCAGGAACCAGGCACCAGAATTCAGGTCCATTGAGAGCATCATGTGTCACGGACATGACAAGAGGCGCAGTAGATTCCGCATTCTCCGAAGGTGTCATCCTTTTCGCACTGGCCCGTGATTCGAGGGCGGCCCATATGCGACGATTGATTGTAACGCACTGCCTCGCATGCCGAGCTGCTGTCTTGTATGACCCAGTAGCTGTGGCAAGAAGCGACTGCACATAAGCGGCAGCCGCCACTATCTTGTTAAATCGCAATCTGCCAGAAAGCGTAGTTGTAGGTTTTGCGAGATCCATGAACTGACGATCGTTGAGCGCAAGAGATTGAGCATCCGCCATCGTAGTCAGACTAGATATTATTAGTGTGATGCTGTCAAAATCACATAGTTCGTTACATACCATTTCGTGGTGTTTCCGGTACTCACAAGATACTCAGCATATGCCATATGCCATTGCAGCTTGGCTTCTACAGATGATGTCTGACGTTCGAGCAACGCTTCAGCCTTCGCCAAAGACAACCCTGCTTTGCCGGTATACCCAAGGTGAAGAAATTGCAGGCCGAGGGCACACAAAACGGCGATGCGCTCGGATACATCAGAACCGTCTTGGAGCTCCAATATCTTGACCAAAAGATGTAGGAGAGGCAACGCAAGATACTCTTCCCCTTTCGCGTTGAGAAATTCAAGGCATGCTTGCAGATCTTGTAGCCAGGATTCGGTATTCTCGACACAATCTGTGAGCGCCTCCCACGAAGACATTGACCCAACGAGTGACTCCCACGTTGTGAAGCACGGCTGGAAGGTTGTTGTGGTAGAAGATGACTGTTCCATCGAAGCTTTGAGGTCGCGAAGCGTTTTAAGATGAACCTCGTATCGTCTTAATGCTTCATCTTTACTACTTGCATTTTGTATCTCGTCGTCATCTGTGGCGTTAATCGATTTCAGTTCTTCAGACAATATATGCGGGTTTTGTTGAGAAAGCTGAAGAAGTGTGACACATAGTCGGAGATGTCGAACGGGATACACGCTTGGTACATAAAGCTGTTGCAAACGTTCCACCAGAATGCGTATCGACTGGTCAAGACTCGAGTCCCACTGTCGGTTCTTGGTCAGAGTTCGTAAGTAAAAGCCAAGCTGCAACTCTAGGATGGCTCCCCTAGTTCCTGGTTCTAGCTCGTCATCGTCGTAGAAGGCGAGTTCGTCTACATTCTGAAGACCAGACGTGACGAAGGAGTGATGAAGTGTCTTCATTACGCGAACGAGGGCACCGAATGGCCCCTCACTATCGAACACATTGTGCAAGGAGGATGTTGACGTCTTCTCAGAGAGCTGCTGCAACACATTGACAGTGAGGTGGTTTTGAATGCATTGCCGAAAAGCGTTGCGAGAGCTTTCGGTACGGTTCAGATCCTCCAAGGCCTCTCCCCAGTTTTCCAGCTTCATCGAGAGGAGTCCACTTTCTCTCTCAGGTGACGAACGAGATTGCACAAGATCGATTGAGCGTTCCATGGCTACAACGAGGGCTTCGGGATTGCAATGCGCTTTTCGCAACTGCAGATACAAAGACCAGTACGCATTTGATAGCTTGACCATATACGTGCCCACAAGAGAGATGTTCTCTTCTCTGGGAAGTGTGCCTTGTCCGATCTCTTCTTCGAATCGACGTATGATGTGTGAGCATTCTTGAAGGATAGTATCCAGTTCTTTCCATTGATCTTGAGTCTTTGTCGTTCTCTTGCAACATGCCATCAAAGAGTCGACCGTACTCTTGGCATATTTCCATGCTAGAAGTACTCGCTCCTGTTTCCGGGTTTGCGATTTTGCGTCTGTTTCACCTGACGATGTAGCCCCGAGAAATCTGGCAAAGAAATGTACACTGGCTGCAATGATGGGTACAGCATGCTGTTCGGTAGGATTGCTCTCAGAACTAGCTGTAGTTTTTGACATGCTTGTGACTAGTAACCGTGTCGCAGCGCGTCGCAGTGCATTCACTTCAGTAAACAGAGTTTCCAAATCAGACACTGAACCACCTAGAGCGCCATCCAAGATCTGAAGTGCGGTAGTAATGGTCTCGTCCAAGTCCGGTTTCTTCTCGCCTTTCACATGAGCCTCAAGATTGATTGTGGCAACGCGTATCGCACGTGTTGTTTGCTTTGCCGCGGATGAATTGGAGTCCGCAGTGTCTTTTGAGGAGCCCAGCCATCGAAGGGCCTGGTCAGACAGGCCCGCAGCTTGAGCAAGAGAGGACAGGGTCTTGTTGGCTGCTGCTTGCGGAGCAGGCTCGCCCGGGAACCCAGCCAAATCAATGTACAATGTCTCAGCGAGTTTGTACTTCTTACTTGGGTTGAGCAGTGATCTGCGGGCGAAAGCAACTACGCATTTGGTGAATGGGTCTGAAAGCTCTCTATCCACACTGCCTTGGTGCTTGACCAGACTCCACCATTTCTTTCGAACGCTGAACGCCAGGTGCTGTAACAGAAGTACGGTCTCGGCAGATGGTTGTAGATTGTTCGCATCTTCGGATGTCGATATACTTGGACATAGGGAAAGCACAGTCTGCGCCAACGACTCCAGTTGTCTTGCCGCCTTGGCCTGGCCGTTCGGGGTCTTAGCAGTGTGAAAGAGTAGGTTCGCAGGTGACGAAGGGTTGGTCAACTTGAGATATGCCCAAGTGGCTTCAACAGTCCGAGGCCTCTTCAGCTTTGCAATAATGCGCAAAGTATACATCTGGAAGTTTGCTACTAGCGGGATAGCAGGGCTCTTCGGGTCGATTGCCGCGAAGTCGAGAAGGAACGCAAGGCTCTCTTTCTCTGCAAGTCCCTGCTGGTGCAAGCCAGACTTGACCTCGTCTTTGCCCGCATCCTGCCCGAGATATCTGTCCAACTTCTTCTTCAACCCTCTTAATTCCTTGACTGCCATATTGTCTAGGCCAAGTGCGACGAGCTTTCCGATAAGCACGAGCACACCATTTTCGTACTGTAGTTCTTGCGAGTCCTTGCCCAAGACCTTCTGTGCCTCTGGTGTACCCAAGTACGCAAACGCGGTTCTTGCGCATTCAGCTGTTGCGAGCAGGCCAGGGTCGGGACCTGGGGCGAGGAAGGAAGAATAAGAAGACGACCGCCGAGGGACGCGTTTTTGGGGCGAGTTGTTGATTTGCGAGACGGATCGTTCCCTGAGAGGCTTTTGCGATGCCAAGGAGCTCGTTGTCTGGCCGAGTCGCGGTCGTGCAGGCTTGCGCGCATCTTCGGCGGCGGTTGGCTTCGACTTGGTAGGGGGACGGGCGGCGGTTGCGTGCGGTGGATTCTTCAGCGCATCTGCAAGCGTCTGAAGGGTCGTATTGGCAACCTCAGTCGCCAGTACGTACTTCTCCTTGGGCCCAAGGTTCGAGTTCTTCTGCTTCCCCATATCCGCTGACGCCGCACCTGTGGCTGTCGCGCCTCTCCTCCGTGCGGCGGGCTGAACTTTTGCTCTGACATTCTCCTTCTGTGGCACATCCTCCGCTTTTCTTGACAGCAAGTCCTGGAGCGCAGTCGCTGTGGCGTTTGTGCATGTTGAGATTGACCGTAAATCGGCCTTAATTCGATCGGTGCGTGTGCGCGTCGTCTCGTCTTTTGTTGCCATTTTCGTAGGGCCGGGATGGTTGTTCGCATGAGTGACGTTTCATACAGTCCGTAGATTATACATTACTAAGAAGACAGGCGCGCTGGTAGGTATGATGTCGTTCAATGCGGTCGCAGTTGGGCTCAAAGGCCGCGGCCAAACAGCTTCAAAACACGCTACCGCATGCGGTTAGCGTTAGTCTATATCCAGCCCTACCCTTGAGAAGGCGCGACCGACCGTTGAGCCGTTCAATGATACTTAATACAACTACGAAACTTGTTCAGTCTTCGCTATTTGCACCACAACTGCATGATGCCCAGGTGCTGTTTGTGTAGGTACTCGAACAAACATGCGATATACAACACGAAGCTCAACAGAAATATGTTTTTCATACAATCCGCCACAGGCTCTGCGTAGGATGGCATAAGCATAACATTCTGGCAGCGTGACAAAGTGCATTTGACAGGTACAAATTGTCGTGCATATGCTGTTCCGGCGTAAAAAGCAGCGGGTTCAGGAGCCTTGGAGAAAAGACTTCCAACAGCGACCCTCAGGCGGTAATATGTGCATGTATCAGTAACATATCGCGGTGATGCTCCAATGAGTGATTCAAGCTTCCATTCAACCTCCAGACGCACACTGCAAGCACAAATCTTACTGAATCTACCTAGGTAGATCACTGCCCTCATACTTACGTTGGACATCATGCATTGGCTACAGACTACTGTGACAACGTCAAACATTTCACACCGATGTCCTGTACATTTCCACAGCGTCGGTAGTAGTAAACATCTGACCAGCGGGCTCTGGGCGAGAAAGGACTATGTGCATTGAATCGCATGATCTACCTCGCGTGCGCGGTTATTCGTTTGGACGACGCCACAACAGTGCAGATTGTGCGCCGCAACACTACAGCAGACCTGATTGAAGCTTACTTCAACTATATCACTCGAACCCAGCACCTGATATACTTGTTGCAAGAGATGTGACGGTATAGCGGTGAACTGCTTGTCGTGTGTTGGTGGGGCGTCTGTAACAAATTCCGTTGGTAGGCAACAAATTCCTGGAGGATTGTTGGTCTGACTATATCACTGAAGATCTGAGCATGGCTGAATCAGAGGGTACTTGTAGTTGCGAGCTGTTGCCTATGTAGCGTTCTGAGCCCAAGCTGACCCTCCGCGAGCTCTATGCCGACCTTGCGAATTATGTGGGAACTGTGAGCAAGGGCGATTGCTACACGAACGATTTCTCCGCAATTGGAGTGCAGCAAGATTCTAGAAAGTGAGTCATTGGCGATGGGCGCGTTGTGACTGATACTGAAAGTGCGTCTGGCTGCGAGTAGCAGGATAGTCGTATCTAAAATCGTCTGGGCCTGATATTCATGCCTATAGTGTAGAACAAGAAGAACATATAGCCAAGACAGCTTGGTCAACTACCAACTGTTTCATTATCGCATGGTATTGAAATAATGGCGTTAGTTGCGGTCACCAGCCAGTGATGAGGAGCGCCACTGATGAGAATCTCTTGACTACATCCAGGATATCGAGGTAATAGAGAACGATCGCGTCTGAAGTTAGACTCGCGGGTGGTGTGTATACTCCCATACGGTTTCGGACAAGTAGCCACCGCTCAAATTTTCTCGCTTCCATGCTCCGAATCTCGATCCTGGCCCAGACGGAATGTGGAGGACCGGGAAGAACGCCAACATATGTCCTTCACAATGGTCTCATATTTGGAGGTGCATGACGGCTATAAGCAGGCCACTTGGCGCTATGCCAGATCTTGGTTCACAGCCGTTGTATCTAGGGCTATCGCAAAGGTCATTGGGGCGGCTTGCAGATACGAATGAATCTTGGACGAGAGATTGGCTGACCGGCTAATATTGTGCCACCTGTTGGTCACTGGAGGTACTTCGGCCTCGCCAATCGTTGCTGAGTCAAACCTACGACAAGGCGGACAAGTCACTTCGTTGTGTCGAGCCTCTTCGCTCTCGATTAGTTGATGGCTTGATGCGGTCAGCTGTTCTGCTCGCGTATCGAAGCCGCAGGCTAATTCGGTCATAGGAACAGACAAAACGCGACTGCCTTAAGTGGCGTCAGTATAGCTGCGATCTGGTAACGGTTCGTGCTTGGGAAGTGACAGACGGGACGCGTTGCAGACATCCAAGTTTCGCGCATCGCTTATGACATACCAGGTCCAAGGAGGGAGACGGCCACGCCGTTGCTCGGCTTGCGGGGTAAACTCAGGGTACCTCGTGCGTGTACTTCATGGCTTCCCTTGGTCTCGACCTCAATTATATTAAATTACTACCGGCCCTACGGGTTATCCGGTTCCAGCGCCAGATACAGAGCGGAGCTCGGTTGTGCCTTCAAGTACGGCCCTTACCTTCATGCAATCCTTGGTATGGGGGAAGCCAAGTCTGGGGTACTATCGATTGACCATGCTACTGCAGACCAGGTTTGCAGATGGCGAACCTCAAACCGGACCTCAGGTGCGCTGCATGATAACCCGAGGACCTGTCCACCAATACAATCCCTGTCGTCCTCGCCATTTATACGTCTTGGTAGTGGAAGCGGAATACGGAATCTGTATACGCAACGATGACGGTGCTACTTCTGCACATGGACATCGGTGTCATGCGCACCGAGGACGTTCTATGCAGGAACGCCGTTTCACCAATGCAAAACAATTGCACGTGGCGAGAGAAGAGTAGGAGGAGTTACTGGTCTACCATCTTCCAGCAATAGTTGGTTTGGCGGCGCAGCGTTGCATCATGATCAGAAGCTTCTGGAACACACCAAGACGGTTCATGTACCAGTTCCCATCTTATCCTAACCAACAATTACAGAGCATTGGCGTGTTGTGGCACCGATTCGAAGATGGGCGATTAGACATGCGAACGCATACTCAACGCTTCGACCATCTCAGCCATGAAGCCTGGTTTTCGGGATGGCGCAAGTTTCTGACATTTCTCCCGTCGTCCGTGTTGGATCAGTCACGGCAGTTCTAGTACTTTGGTGGCGGCAGCCAGTATCCGCGCGACTCATGGACTTAGACAACTGGTTTGAATAATGGTGTGTCAAATGTACCCACCGGGCAGCGCGAGGGGAGATATGTCAGTTCGGGCCGCGCAACGTCCAGGGGTGGACTTTTCTCCAACAATCAACCCCTTGGCTAGTAGCCGCTAAGAGCGTAAGTGGTTGGTGCTCATCCGTCTAGCGTCGCATCCTCCACAGTCGCCTAATTGTACAAGACCCTCCCCCGCAACTGTCCGCGGCAAAAAGAAGACGCCAATGTTGCGTTGACGCAGCTGAGGTTGGACGACTCGTCGAAAAGGAATCCGGACCGAACAAGCTGCGGCGTAGTCTGTAGAGGCGAACGCCTCATCAAAGACCAACCATGGCGTTCAAGGAACAAATTGCGCAAGATTTACGAACGCACATCAGCACGGCGAGACCACGGCTGGCAACGCGGTTAGGCACCGTGAATGGCTGTCGCTCCTGGCCCCTGTGCAGGCATTGATGACCATTCGGAGGCACGACAGGGGCGTGCTCCACGTGGTGGCGGGCTGTTGTTCTTTTCCGTCCTGTACCGCTTGAAACTCACACGCGACAGCATTCCCATGTCCGCAAAGTTTACTCTTCCTGCCGACAGGGAGCGCCCAGCCTGTCTACGTTGAAGCAGTGGAGCTCACCCGGGAGGGCTGAGTACAACCCGCTTCTCGAGTCTTTTCCCTGTATCAGACAAGTACCTCGACTCAATATTGAGCATCCGCTCGGTTGGTAATACGCTGGCTGATAGACAGGGGACGGGTGCATTGGCACATGCCGAAGTTTACACTCATCAACCCTGCAGCTGTAGCGTGCTGAAAAGCTTAGGCAATCGTCTAGGACCCGTCCACGCCGTCCAACATGCCGCGTCTGGTGCACCTGCATATCCGCCTGGCCTGACACAGAAGCCAGTTGGACGATCTCCTTCCTTTCAAGTGTTCTACCCATATCAGGCGTGCTACTCCACCCCAGCTAGTTCTGGCATCTATTGCCATTATTTCCTATATCCTTTGCGCATACCCCAACCTGTGGATCACTCTTGCGGAGAATACCTCTAGTGTTGATCACTCTTTTGTGTATACAACAAGCTAAACTCCAAATCACCAGTTATCTCCGACCTGATTGATCAATCAACACACGAGAGTTGCATAGTGGCTCCCTGATTGGAAATCGCCAGACTGTGGAACCGCGACCGGACCTCCAGAGGGCACGAGAGCGAGACGGTTTCGTCGCGAACAGATTCGACCCCCCCTTCGCTATACCAACCATGGTATCTTGATGCGTTGAGAGCACAAGTACTTCCGCACATCCTATCGGGCCGCTTGATACTCGGTTACGACCCTACATTACAACTATGGCGCCCTACGACATGACCGATATAACCTCTGTTCTACTTGAACGCTCTCTCGAAAAACGATACTTTGACGCTCCGCACAGTATGGACCCGCTCACCCCCCTCTATAGGGCGGGGCTAATTCCACTCGCTATTTGCGCCACAATGAGCTTAATATCAGTCACGGCCTTACTGGGATTCATTACACAGCGGATGATTTCGTGGCGGAGACACTACAGGCAATACGTCGGATACAACCAATATGTTATTCTCATCTACAACCTCTTAATCGCCGACCTACAACAGTCTATCGCATTCTCTATATCGTTCCACTGGCTCCGAATCAATAAGATCGTAGCACCGACCGGCGCATGCTTCCTCCAAGCGTGGTTTTTACAGATTGGGTCAGTATTCTCACGCACAAGATATGTGAGATATGTACTAACTCGCGATACTATCGTTTAGAGATGTCGCAAGTGGCTTCTTTGTTCTCGCAATTGCGATACATACTTGGTTGGGCGTGGTCAAAGGATACAAAATGCCGTACAGGTGGTTTGTGGTATCGATCCTCTCGATTTGGCTCTTCTCGTTGATCCTTACGTTACTTGGACCGGCTATGTACCAGGAGCGATATTTCG